ATTTCACACTACTCAAGTTGACTTTTTAGGATACATCATTTCAAATGATGGTCTCATGATGGATTCTAAGAAAGTCCAGAAAATCATGGATTGGAAGATTCCAAAGACAGTAAGAGATGTCTAATGTTTCTTGGGATTTGCCAATTACTATCGGATCTTCATCAAAGACTTTTTACGAGTTGCAGCTCCACTTACATGCTTGACCAATAAAGACAAGTTCCAATGGAATCAAGAAGCGGAAGCAGCATTTGAAGCCTTGAAGACATCGTTTGTCTCTGCACCAGTCTTATATCGTGTTGACTTTTCCAAGGCATTTTTTATGGAAACAGATCCATCGGATTTTGCCTTGGGTGCAGTTTTGTCACAAATGGGAACAGATGACAAACTTCATCCGATAGCTTTTCATTCAAGAAAATTCTCAGCAACCGAGATCAATTATGAGATCCACGATAAAGAACTGCTTGCAATCGTGGATTCCTTTCAAGAATGGCGTCATTATCTAGAAGGCACTTCTAGTCCAGTCACTGTGTATACAGATCACAAGAACCTCGAGTATTTCATGTCAACACGCGTGTTGAATCATCGTCAAGCTCGTTGGAGTATGTCTTTGTCAAGATTTGAGTTCATTATCACTTATCGGCCAGAAAAACAACAAGGTTTGTCCGATGCATTGTCTAGACGTTCTTATTTTGCACCAAAAGAAGGAGATGCAGCTTTTGAGCAACAAAGAGCAGTCCTCTTGAAACCGGAGCAATTTCATCTCCAAGCAATGAAATCAACATTGACTGTTGATTTAACTTTTCTCAAGCAAATCCAGTCCAGTATGTCCTCAGACCCTCTTGTTCATGATATTGAGAATAATTCTTCTAAGTCTCATGATTCTTCTAAGTTCGAGTTCAAGAATAATCTATTATATTTTGAAGGACGCCTATATGTTCCAGAAGGAGAAGCACGTTTACGTGTTCTTCAAGCACATCATGATTTTCCAGCAGCAGGACACTTTGGATATAATAAGACTTTGGAACTCATATCAAGAGATTTTTGGTGGCCACAAATGTGGAAGTCAGTCAAAGACTTTGTACAATCATGTAATATTTGTTCAAGATCAAAAACTCCTCGTCATCAACCTTACGGACTTCTTCAGCCATTACCTATATCAGAACAACCATGGTCTTATGTTTCTATGGATTTCATCACAGATCTTCCAAGCTCAAGATCTTATGATTCTATATTTGTGATAGTAGATCGTTTCACCAAGATGGCACATTTTATACCATGTACAAAATCTATCACACGTGAAGAAACAGCTAAGCTTTTCATTGATAATATCTATCGCTATCATGGATTACCTAAAGATATCATATCGGATAAGGGAACTCAATTTGTGTCGAGATTCTAGAGGACCCTTTTCAAGATTTTAAAAGTGGACATAAAGCTATCTTCGGCTTTCCATCCTCAAACTGATGGACAAACAGAGCGCGTAAACTAAGTCTTGGAGCACTATTTAAGGTGTACCATCAACTACCAACAAGATGATTGGACAACCCTTCTGCCATTGGCAGAGTTTGCTTATAATAATACGGTACATTCCTCCACACAACAAACACCTTTCTTTGCCAATTATGGCTATCATCCACGACTTGATGCTTTTGATTTTTCAAAAGTTGATAATCCTGCAGCAAAAGATATAGCAAATCGGTTGTCAGAGTTACATGCAATAATGAAGGTGCAATTGAAGGAAGCTCAAGAACGACAAAAGATAAACGCAGATGTATATTGTAAGGAGCAACCACAACTCAACGTGGGTGATAAGGTATGGCTACTTCGTCGTAATATCAAGACCACTTGTCCTTGCGACAAGTTGGACTATCGAAGGCTGAGACCATTTTCTATTTTTGCACAAATCAATCCAGTTGCATATCGTTTACATCTACCGAAGACAATAAAAATCCATCTAGTATTCCACGTGTCTCTTCTTGAACCATACAAGACAGTGGACATACCAAGAAGACGACAAGCTCCACCTCCTCCTATAGAAGTGGACAATAATGAAGAGTTTGAAGTAGAAGAAGTCTTAGATTCAAGGCGGCATCGAAATAAAATAGAATATCTTGTCCATTGGCACGGATATGATATTAGTGAACGCACATGGGAGCCAATGAAGAATCTTGCAAACGCAGCAAAGGCGGTGGAGGCTTTTCATCGACGACATCCATCAAAATCAAGATGAAAACCTTCTTTATAAAAGAAACAACATCTAGGCAAGATAACATTCTACTTTCAATTCTTGTTCATAGCTTCGTTGTAGTAGTGGCGCTCAGGAGATGGAGAACCAACAACCAGTAGATTTAACTCAAGAGTCTTCATTTGCTGACCTGCCGGATGAGACATTACGATTGTCACAACCTTCAAGACGACACAATCGAGATGAAGATCTTCAAGAACGACATGTTCTTCCTCGAATAGATGGTGAGATACAACGCGTTTGGTATCACGATTTGGAAAGGGACTCCCGATGTTTGGTGATTTTGCTAGAGGTAGGAACAACTCCTGATGGTGTTCCAAATATTTTATTCGAAGGAAGTTACGAAGGCCTCAACAATGATCAAATAACTGGGTGGTCTTCCCGCCCTGGTATGGGATACTACCGATGGTTGAGAGGCTCTATCAATCATCTTCGAAGAGAACAGAGATCAAAGTATGTAGCGAATACAATTCGTCGCATCATAGATTTCCTCAACATATGATGACCGCTCCTCGTGGAACTCGTCCCTAGAAGGGGGGGTAATGTCACGGCCATAATCATGTAAGCTAATAATTACATATAGAAATAGGTAGAAGTAAGTAAAAGTAGGTAAAAATAAGTTAATTCTATAATATTTAATATAGAAGTTTCCTAGAAATTTTCTAGACGCTACTTTGACTTCATAGGTGTCTTTAATTGACTTTTTGGATTAGAAACGTGGTCAACAAGTTGGCCATGTGCCACACATGTTGTTAGCTTGAAGATCAAGCTAACTATATGGCCCACACGTAGAAAAACTTGCCTTGTAAGTCAAGGCATGTGCCCTACAAAGTCAACACATATTGGAGGTCCTATAGAATGTCGCCACGTAGCCCCTAGTTAGAGAGTATATATAGAGACAAGAATGAAGGCTTCTTCACTCTTGTCAACTCCTTTCTTGCTTCTAGTCTGTTTCAAGGGTCTTTAGTTTTCTTGTCTTTTGGCAATAGCCATTCCAGTTTCTCTTTCAATATATATACTTGTTTATATATATTTTGTTACCTCTCTTTGAGTGAATGCTCACTTGTTTGAATTGTTTTTTCATCGAGTTCTTGTCCTTGATAGTATTTAACCTCTTTGAATGATGTAAGGATGATTGTCTACAAAATTATCCATTTATAAGCAAAGTATTTTGTTATGATTAAATTCTATGTTCAAATACTCTTCAAGTTTTGCATTTCTCTATCATGCTTCTATATTGCTTTTGCTCTCTAGTCTTGTGTCTTGCTATAGCTTTGAACTAGGTTATTTCTCCATATAGTCATTGTCCTCTATTTCTTTTTTAAAAAAATTAAATTATATTTTTTAAATACTTGAATTAAATTTTTTTATTTTTTATTTTTTATTTTTATCTATTGCAATGTTTTTAATCAAATCATTGTTTATGTGATTTTGAAGCAATCAACAAAATAATATAAAATATTCAATTTGATGGTTTTTTTTTTTCTTCTCTTTTTAACTCTATTTATTTTTAAACTCAATTTAAAAAAGGACTTTATTTTTAAAATAAAATATGATAGTTATAAATGATTATAATCTTATATTACAACATATGTTGGTATCAAATAATTAATTAATTAAATAATTTTTTTGATAGATATGTAATGTTTATAATTTTGATAAATTAAATAAATATATATATATATATATATATATATATATATATATACATATATATATACATATATATATATATATATAGTGATTTTATTATTAATTTATCCATGATGCTTGTTTTGATTTTAATTAAAAGTTAATAAAAAACAATATGACTTTTTGACTTTCAATATTTATCTAAAAACTCTCCATCAATGCTAGTTTTTATTAATAATAAAATTTTATTGTCAATTTTCTCTAAATTTGATCTCAAATCAACATTAGCTTATGCCTTTTTAGGTTTTTATAATGAATAATAGTGCCAAATTTTGATTTAAAAAATCAAGAACCATCAAAGGATCTCCAAAATAGAAGTGAATATTTATAAATTTACTATATGTTTATAATTTAATATTATTATAAAATATAAAAAATCGAAATAAGAAAAATTAAACACAATGACGTTATTGTAAAATATAATATATTGATATGTAAAATAAATCCTATAAACATCAATATTGTTTTTAATAAAAATCTAGCTTTGAAATACAAAGTTTAAATACACTTCTAGAATTTTTTTTGTGCCCCTAAAAATCAATAAGTATCACACCAATGAGCCTATTTCTTGCTAGAGAACATTAAAAAAATTGCAAAAATAAGAAACTAAGCTCTTGGCCATTAATAGCATGTTCCACGAATAAAACCAAATACTCATGCATGAAAATTTAAGTATCATATAAATTTTTGGTCTCTGAGGTTTGCTGACTAAGATCCTAATAAATCGTCATCATAATGCAAAATAAAACTACGTAGATTAAAAATGCCCAAAAATCTTGAGATGTCAATTATCCAACGCCTGCTCACAACACTCGGGCCACGCTTTAAGATGACGAGACGGGGACAAACAGTAAGGAACGACGATGACGAAACGGACGAAAGGGAAGAAATCGTTCGTTGTGTTGGGAAGCGACGAGGGCGGTCCAGAGGTCGTCGTCCGCTACATTCATCCATCCGGCATCAAGATGAACGCACACCATTAATCAATCCATCCAAATAGTAACCAATGAAACCATTTATTCATAGACATCCATCTATTCGTGGAAGGAAGGAAGCAACCGGCAGGATCTCTGCGAGCCCACGGAACCCTTCTTCTCCATCAGCAGCACTTCCACGATCATTTGCTGCTGAGATTTGCTCGTCGGATTACTAACTTGGGTCTGTTTGGCATGCGATCTACAACCAAAACAGTGTCAAGTGCATGCGATCCGACGATAGAGTGACACACCCCAATTTTGTGGCGAAGATTTCCTCCCCTATCTCTCTCTCTCTCTCTCCGTCCCCTTGTAGGTGCAGTTGCAGGTTTTCTCATACTACTTACTACAGCTATGGAGTGATTGATTCCCCATGCCTTTGTTTTTGTTTTTTGTTTTTTGTCATGGAATGTGTCAATCATGACATGTTTCTGTGTTGGGTGTGCTTTACGGCTCCGCAGATGGGAAGCTGTTTGCCGATGCTCTCTTCTTCTGGAAATTTGCGAAACGTTGAAGTGGATAATTGACTTAGCGGATCTTGTATACGCATTTACTGAATTAGTCCCGTTCTTGTTCTCTACTCGTGGGTACCGGAGATGTGCGATTTTGTTTGAATTGGATTCGGTGTTCGATTGCTGGGGTCTGATTTCTTAAGGAAATATTCTAGCCTTCTTACAACTGTATTTTAGTGTCAATTTTGCTTGGACTTTTGTACGAGGACGTTGGGGATAGAGGTATGGGTTTAGGCTTTCAAGTTGTGAGTTTAGTGGTTGTGAGTTTTGTGGTATCGGCCTCTTGTAGGATATTAGAAATTTGATCGCAGTAGTGCTTGCTTTGGCGTCGGTCCCCTACATGTTTTCTTTGTGAATTTTGTTGTTCTGGTGTTGAGGGGGAATTTAGGATATAAGTTTCACCCGACAATGTTCTAACATGTATGTATTATATAAAACATCAGTTGAATGGGAAGGAGCTCTCACTAGATTTTCTTAGGCATTACTGGGTCGCAATTGCGCTAAAATGACGATCTAAGCGGCCCATTGGGTTGAGAGAATTGGCTTGCGATGGATAGTGACCGAAGCCAGACACCTCTGCCTGTATCGCTACTTCTGCCTCCACCTCCTATGAGCATGCTCTCTACATCATCGTTACAACATCCAGAGTTGGAAAAGAATCTAACAGTTAGAAATGTTGAGGAGAAACGAGAGGAATGGTCGGCTCGCGCGGTGGCCCTATTCCTCGACCTTTACGAAGAAAAGTACTTCGAAATGGACAGGGGGGGTTTCCGATCGAAGGACTGGGAGCAGCTGGTGGAGCGGTTTAACATGGAAGGGGGATGTGGGAAGACGATGAAGCAGTGCCGGGACAAAATGGACTCCTTGAAGAAGCGTCATAAGCTGGAGAGGGGCAGGAAGGCAAGCACAGGAGCGGAGACGTGCAGCTGGGTGTGGTTTGATAAGATGGATGGTATGTTTGGTGACCATTCCAAGCACCAAGGAATATTGCTTGGTCCTCCTGAAGCAAGTGACGTGAAATTTTCCGCAGATAAGTTTCGAATCGCGGGCGGGGAAAATGTGATTATGGAAGAACAGAGTCGGAGGATTGTTGGAAGCTGGAGAGAGGCGAAGAAAGTTTTACAAGAGCTGCCTTTGTCTGCTGAAGAGCGGGGCAAGGCTCGGACTCTGCTGCTAGAGAAGAAAGAGGAGGAGAGATTAGAATATTTTGTTGGCGATTTTGAGGAGGTTAGCTTTTGCTTGAAGCTGCTTGTGGAGAGAGCTTCCATCCAATCTTCAGGTTTTTTTTTTTTTTTTTTTTTTTTTTTTTTCTTCTTCTTATGGTTACTCTGCTTTTTTGGTTATATAAATCAGTCTATCGCAAGTGTTTTAGTCTTCTGCACATTTGACCTTTTCTGGATAATTTCTTAATGACCTTCAATACTAAATTATCTGGCGTTTGATTACAGCTCTTTTATACTGGTGGGTGTTTGTTATTCAATTTGGGTTTCCATGAATTCAGCATTTCAGCAATATCTGATGCACGGAAATTTTAGAGAGTTGGTAAGGGAGTATTTGTAATTGTAGTATTTTTTATTTATTTATTTATTTATTTATTTTTTACGATTTAAAAATGCAGGAGACGCGGGAGTTATTCAAATGGATTTTGCAGTGGCCTCTGACATCCAGCGCAGGCTGGAGGAAGTGTTAACAGGTGCGGATTCCTCTTTTAGATTCATGCAGTGATAATGAGAGTGTTTCCTTCATGGTGAAAGTCTTGTCAATAGAACCAGTGAAAAGGATGTATGTGAGATTGTGTTGTTCAACATTCACTCTTCAAGTTGTCTTGTCTGTTGTTACCATCCCCTCCACAAATACCATTGAGCATTAGATGGTGAGGTACCCTAAATTGTGCTCTGATAGGCATTCTATTGAATGAATAGAGCTCTTTCGTGCACAAACTTAACTACTAACAAGACATTTTGTTTCTTTTGTAGATGTCATTTCGCTCAAAAGGCGAGCGATATCAGATCTGCGGTATTTTATGCCTGCAGCAAAGAATAGTAAGAGTTGAAGCAAAGCTTCATGTAGGACACATTTTTAGAGTTTCTTCCAAAATTACTGCCTTGCGATTCGCTTTCACAACCTTCTAGTGAAACCTGGTAGTCAGCTATGGATTGAAGGCCTTCAGGAGGTCCCGCCGCCATTGGAGCAGTGAGGTTTGAAAGAGCAAATGAAGTCAGGCATTTGCACCTCACTTTTATTGGTATGTCTTGCACAATTTTAACTTTTAGGACTGTTTGGTTGATCCGAAGTTGATCTTTGGTTTGACTGTAGGGAGCAAGTATGAAAACTGAAATCCTCAATGCATTCACAGGTGCTACTGAAGCTGAATATGCGTTGGCACTACTTGTACACAAGCTTTTAGCGAGGTGGTGAGTTTTGGACATTTTGCAGGGATTCTATGCTGAATATGGTGTTCAAGATAACGAATTTTTCCACATCTTAATGGTAGGTATGATGGATGGTATGTTATGGACTAGCCCCAAATTCGTGACATTAGATGGGGGGCAAATCGAGATTACTATTTGATCGTTAAGGTTGAACTCCCAAAGAGAATGAAAATTTATTAAATGCTTAAACTAGTTCCAATCAGCTACATTGTTTTAGTAATCATGCAATTTATATTTCTTCGATTTTAAAATCAAGAAATAGTGCACAAATAACAAACTAGGACTTTGCCTTTACACGACTTGATCACTGATTTGCTATCCAAGCGTCTATTACCTGCGCATACAGTGCGGACTTTGTGATTGGTATAATAACTAATTTGTAAATCGAGAAGTGGTTTGTAGTAAGCATCAATCAAATGAGTCGCTTGTCATTTGATAGTGGTCATAGAACGTACATGGACAACCTAGAGGAGATGGACGATCACACACCAGAGCGTTCAAGTATTCAAAAACTTCGTGTCTAGGAGCGTACCGATTTCATTGCAAGTATTTCAGATGTATTCCAGATTCGCAATTCACATCCCAGCACCAAATTTCAAAATGCTCTGGCTCTTTACATCGTCACTCTAGCTCAGTATCTATAATGTGCCTTGTGAAAACTTTACATTTTTTTCATTCTGATTTTTATTTCAGGGTCTGGAAATTGCTACTTAAGCTGGTTATGATTAAATCAACCGTCATCCAATTAGTTTCTGTGCTCAGAAGTATAGAGGGCTACAAGCTCTTTGGGTGCACAAAATAGACTTGGTTAAACCTTATGTTCTTAAGTAGTATTTCAAGGAAATACACAAATGATGGGTGCATGTTGCAGCATTACTAGAACCATGAGCATTTCCATGGGTGTCCAATCAGGTTTTCCACCATTGGGGCTTGGTTGGGCCCACAAAAAAGCATCGACCTATGGTGTAGTGGGTCCTATCAATCTGCTCAGCATAAGAGTTCATGGATATGGGCACAATACAGGGCCCACAGGTATGAGTGTCTGTCATGTGGCAAATCTAGTTTTTGAGATCATTTATTCATTTGATTAAACTATTTATTATTAGTGCTAAAGGAATGATAATCTGAAGATGAAATTTGACATGCCTCTCTTTCACCATGTCAAGTATCATATCTCCAAGCCATGTTAGGTATATTTTGGGTTTATTTTACATAAATTGGGTGATGAGCGGAACAATTCTTTGTGGAGAGGCATGCAAAAATTTTAATTTGTGTCTGTGGGAGTAGCATAGTAGGAATATTTCCACAATCTTGAAATCAACAAAAAGAAAATATTAAGTAGAAACATTGCAAAGTTTTATAATCAATTCCTTGTCTAATCTTCTTTTTTGTTATTGAATTTCAAGTTTCTACAATTAAAGTATCAGAAGAGTTGAATGCAAGTGAGATGTAAACAACATAAATTGTTATGTAAAATATTTATTTACTTCTGAAAGAACAAGCCATGAAAATAAGAAAGTGAAAATTATAATTAATTAAAATAAAAATAACAATATTAAAATTCTTGAATATTCAAACAACCATAGTAAAGAAATCAATGGATATTTAATTTTAGTTCCACAACGATTATGAGAACTTAATATTAAAATTATAACCTTTCTTACTAAAATACAATATATTGTAGAACTTACAATAATAAGATTATTTGCAAATCAGAAGCACTTTTGGCTTTTTTATTTTATGTTAAATTAATTTATTATTTATAATTTTAATTAACTTATATCAGATTTTTTTAATTAAAAGGCTCATAATTCAAACTGTTAAGTATTTAAACTGAAAGTTTCGTTTGTATACTTAAACAAAGACAAAGTGATACTCCCACCTTAATTTTCAGTATTTCCGAAACCCATAATAAATTATGATTTATTCAAAATTTTAATTTTGTATTCGTTTTCGATTTTTTAAATAAACACTTATTTTTTGAAAAAAGAAAAAAATCGATCATATGTATATACATATACTTTCATGATTTCTAATTATTAAAAAAATAACTAACAAATAAATTACAAGCATAAAAAAATCAATAATTTTATAGAGCTTGGTTAAAAATTCATTCATCAAATAGAATGTTCTTAATAAATTTGATTTATTACATTATTTTGACGACTTTTCACAATGGTTTTATTTTTATTTCTGTAATTGTCTTTACTCAAATAAATCTTTTTGATAAATTTGTAGATAGAACATGACTTCAACTCTTAGTATTCTGCACACATACACGACCTAATTGGAAGGTTGTTCTGGCTAGACCAGATAGAAAACAATGCACACAAACTGTGGGTGATACCAGCATGAGTCGTATTCGTCAGTGAGCATCGACATGGCCTCTACGGATCTAAACCATCCCAAAAACCCATGCTTCAGTCCTTGCCTCCGACATTCTTGTCCCCCTCCAGCTTGTGCCACATGGAGGAGCAGAATCGTTTCTTCCCAGACACTTCTGTTGTTCCCTTGTGACTGGCTTTGTGAATTCCCTGGACCCGGATCTCTTGATTCACGAAATCCGAAGCACTACTCCAATCCCAAGCGTTGCACCCACCACAAGCGTACCGATCATATGCATCACACTTGACGAGTCTTCTTGTCCACTCCCACAATCATGTACAAAACAACAGCTCAAGGAAGGCAGGAATGCGATCCCAAGTGTGATGACAACACTTGGTTGAATAGAATTTTGATTGATGGAGGGCGTGAAAGCGAGACACAATGTCGCCTCACAATAAATGCACGCTACACTAGGCTAGGCTATGGAACCACGCCGACAGCTCAATTCGCAGCGACAATCGTCGACTCTGGGGCAAACCTAGCCTACTCATCCACTCACTACAACTTGAACTACAACTAAAAGGGCGTAAATATGCTTCGTGTTGTTGTGGTGCTCAGACTCACGGCCTCCATGCCATGCCAGCTGCGCATGCAGACGGTTTGGGACGAATCCGAGGCATTGCAATGCGCTACTTCCTAGATTGCTCATGCGCTCAAAGGTACGAGAGCAATTGGACGGCGCTGTGTGGTGACGTTCAAGCCCGTGTGGTGAAGCTGGCCTTGATGTGCTGGACTTGCTTCTGGTTCAAGTTGAACGCCTTCTCCAGCACCTCGTCGTTGATGGGAGGGTTGGCTGCGAACAGCGCCGGCGCCACTTGCTGCACTCCCGGGTTCTGGCTGCTGAGCGCCGCGATGGCCACCGCCGCGCCCTTGCCCACATTGAGCTGGAAGTGGACCAGCCCCCTGGGGAACACGAACACATCGCCTGCGTATAGCGTGGTGGCGAACAACGTGTTGTTGGTGGTGCTGACGAACCCGACGTACAGCTCCCCCTGCAGCAGCGCCAGGACCTCGGTGGCGCGAGGGTGGATGTGGGGCACGTTGATGCCGCCCTTGGCAAAGTCCAGGCGAGCCAGGGAAATGCCCAGAGTGTTGAGGCCGGGGAGCTGAGCGGCGGCCACGGGCGTGACGGCGTTGGCGGTGGGGCCGTTGGTGTTGCCGGGCTTGTCGAGGCCCCTGAACAGGAAGTCGTTCACCTTCACGTCGGCCGCGGTCTTACACACCAGACCATTGATGGTGAGCGTGTTGGAGGCGTCTGCGACGCAGAAGTCCTGGATGGGATCGGCGTCAGCTGCCATGGAGAGCATGGGTAGCAGAGCGGCCTGGACGAGGAGCGCCACGAACACGACGCGCTTGGCAAGCGTCTCCATTGTGCGCCCACTGCGTGACAACGATCGTTCACCGCTGGGGTTGGTTGGGAATCCCGTCCCCTCTCGGATGTTGCTCGCTGGGTTGTCTTGTCGCGTGTCGTGTCCTGGGGAATTTGAGCAACAAGAAGAGTCGTTGCCGCACTGGTGTCGAGGGGCTTGGAGAGGGCTTGGTGATTGGAGAGTGCTTGGTGAATGAAGTGATGGGAAGTCATGGGCTGCACAGCTGTTTTATACACCGGAAGGATTGAGGTCTGTCCACCGGGCAGCAGGTCTCGCTGCACGCGGTGTTGTAATGTCGAAACGCGGCGCGCAAGGCAACGACGTAGCTTAACGACACAGGGCTTCCCTTCGTCACTTCAGGTCTCGACCCGCTGTGATTTTCTCCAATGTCCGGTCAAACAAGCGTGTCGCTGGGCCCCGCATGTTTTATTCCTGAGAAGGCACCTCCGACTCAATCTTGCCGGGACAAGCCCGGAAGCTGCGGAGGCTGTTGCGTTGGCGATGGCGCATGGTGGAGGGGACGCAATGTACTATGGAAGGATGAGTAGTTTATGACAACAGAAGGGCTGGTATCAGTGGCAAGGACACTGGTGGTGTCAACTGTGGCATGGCGGTTGTGTTTTTTCTATGGTTTTCTATGTTCCGGCTCAAGAATTCTTCCTCCTCGGTGACTGCAGCCCAGCGGCGCTGACCGCTTTCTTGACGTCAACGGGAAGCTGCCCGAACGGAAACCACTGACACCAGCCCTTCTGTTGTCATGAACTACTCATCCTTCCATAGTACACCTTGCAGTCGATGCACCAATGCAGACACGAATAAAATCCAGACAGAAACAATAAAAGGCCATGCGCCCACTCCCCTAAAAACTTGGATCTCTACCTAAACTCAAAAAAACAAGCAGAGAAGGGAGGTGAACCAAGTCTACATAGCTACAGCAACCGCCGCCCAACCCCAAAAGCGATGACAGTTCGACAGGAATGGAAAAATATGTCGATGCTCCTTCAAGCCCAACAGCCCTCCAGCTTCACCTCCGCTAACAAACTGCAGATCCCAGCAGAACCAAAGATCGGGAATAGAAGGAGATAACTGCCAACCCCAACCCAACCGTCGAATGCAGAGCTCCCAAATCCACATCCAATGAAAAAAAAATTAAGAGTTAAAGAAAGGATTCTCTTAGGCATGCATTTTGTGAGTGATTGACTATTGTAAGTGTGATTTAATGGTAGACATTGATTGACTATTTAGATGACTTACGAAGTATTAAGAGTGAATTAAATTGGATTAACTAAGAACTAAAAATTCTAACACATACATAATTAATTCATTGGTTATGAACTAGAATAAACTTACAATTAGTGGAGGTTTATTTTAGCTCATAAAGGTCAAGACCAAAATTAAGGTAATGACCATCAAATGAACCTAAATTTGTATTGTTGGCCTAATCAACTTCACCATCAGGATTAAAGGACATTTTTCAATTAACTTTGACTACTTGCATGTCTTAATTATAAAAATTTCTAATACTAATGAAGTTTAAGGTTATATAGAATTAGATTGAATGTAATTAATTCCTAAATTAATTCCTTTCACATGACTGCTTTGTATATATAATTAGATTTAAAAATCTCTACAAGTAAAAAAAAAGATAACATTATCAATTAGAATTAATACTAAATCAACTATTAATCTATTCATTATGCTCATACTACGTGTAGGTTATTGTTCCACTTACATAAAAAGATAATTCAGACAATTCTTTTTACATCAATTATAAAATTGTTCCAATCCCATAAATTTAACAAAATCATGTTAAATACATATAGCATTCTTATATCTACAAACAACATTTATAGCTAGTTCTTTTTTAAAATTATTAAAAAATCAATATAATATCAAGATAAAAACTTATGAAATTGTATAAACATACTTTTGAAATTATAAACAATACAAGCATAAGAAAATTGGTTTATGATTGTTATGTGTTGAAGCTTAGGATCAAAATACCAAAACAAAAAGAAATAAATATACATGTAAATATGTATGTATAAATATAATTATTAAGAAAGCAGAAAAAATTTAAAAATCAATAAATATATAAATAAATAGTTTTTGTCAAACCAAATATTACAAAACACAACAAAACTCCCATAAACAAGAAAGAAAGAAAGAATATATATATATATATATATATATACATACATACATACTAAACAGCAACAAGGTGGGCCCTTCAAAACTCACAAATACAACATAATCACAATAAAAGAAAATTGTAATAATGACATATACCTAAACATTCAAACACTTATTAAAAATGGAAACACATTCAAACTCAATACCACAGACAGAAACAAAAGCAAACTCCAAAAAATCCCAAAAAATAAAGCATCACATATTTACATACAACAAGGTGGGCAACTTCAAAACTCTCAAATACCACAAAACATCCATACAAACAGGAATCAAAGACATAAAAGACACTTAAATAAACACATAAACAGATAAACTGGTTCAAGAAATTGAAATGATATAAATTGCACAGAATGCAAGCCACTATATCCTGGAATCAAAACCCCCCAAAATTGATTGGCCTCCCTGCCTCCCTCCCTGGAAGCAGATGTTTGTGTAATGCACGCACGCAGCTGTTTCCATCACAAACTGAAGCCATCCCACTTCGCCAAGCACATGGAGCTTTGAGCACAACCCACTTACCTGAAGCTCTCAACACCAGCGACATCCAACGTCGCTCATGCCAACGACGCCGACACTGGCATTCTCCGGATCATCGGTCCCTCTCGCGTCTCCGAGTCTGCGACACTCGACGTCATTCCGTGGCCCTCCACCATGCGCCATCGCCAACGCAACAGCCTCCGCAGCTTCCGGGCTTGTCCCGGCAAGATTGAGTCGGAGGTGCCTTCTCAGGAATAAAACATGCGGGGCCCAGCGACACGCTTGTTTGACCGGACATTGGAGAAAATCACAGCGGGTCGAGACCTGAAGTGACGAAGGGAAGCCCTGTGTCGTCAAGCTACGTCGTTGCCTTGCGCGCCGCGTTTCGACATTACAACACCGCGTGCAGCGAGACCTGCTGCCCGGTGGACAGACCTCAATCCTTCCGGTGTATAAAACAGCTGTGCAGCCCATGACTTCCCATCACTTCATTCACCAAGCACTCTCCAATCACCAAGCCCTCTCCAAGCCCCTCGACACCAGTGCGGCAACGACTCTTCTTGTTGCTCAAATTCCCCAGGACACGACACGCGACAAGACAACCCAGCGAGCAACATCCGAGAGGGGACGGGATTCCCAACCAACCCCAGCGGTGAACGATCGTTGTCACGCAGTGGGCGCACAATGGAGACGCTTGCCAAGCGCGTCGTGTTCGTGGCGCTCCTCGTCCAGGCCGCTCTGCTACCCATGCTCTCCATGGCAGCTGACGCCGATCCCATCCAGGACTTCTGCGTCGCAGACGCCTCCAACACGCTCACCATCAATGGTCTGGTGTGTAAGACCGCGGCCGACGTGAAGGTGAACGACTTCCTGTTCAGGGGCCTCGACAAGCCCGGCAACACCAACGGCCCCACCGCCAACGCCGTCACGCCCGTGGCCGCCGCTCAGCTCCCCGGCCTCAACACTCTGGGCATTTCCCTGGCTCGCCTGGACTTTGCCAAGGGCGGCATCAACGTGCCCCACATCCACCCTCGCGCCACCGAGGTCCTGGCGCTGCTGCAGGGGGAGCTGTACGTCGGGTTCGTCAGCACCACCAACAACACGTTGTTCGCCACCACGCTATACGCAGGCGATGTGTTCGTGTTCCCCAGGGGGCTGGTCCACTTCCAGCTCAATGTGGGCAAGGGCGCGGCGGTGGCCATCGCGGCGCTCAGCAGCCAGAACCCGGGAGTGCAGCAAGTGGCGCCGGCGCTGTTCGCAGCCAACCCTCCCATCAACGACGAGGTGCTGGAGAAGGCGTTCAACTTGAACCAGAAGCAAGTCCAGCACATCAAGGCCAGCTTCACCACACGGGCTTGAACGTCACCACACAGCGCCGTCCAATTGCTCTCGTACCTTTGAGCGCATGAGCAATCTAGGAAGTAGCGCATTGCAATGCCTCGGATTCGTCCCAAACCGTCTGCATGCGCAGCTGGCATGGCATGGAGGCCGTGAGTCTGAGCACCACAACAACACGAAGCATATTTACGCCCTTTTAGTTGTAGTTCAAGTTGTAGTGAGTGGATGAGTAGGCTAGGTTTGCCCCAGAGTCGACGATTGTCGCTGCGAATTGAGCTGTCGGCGTGGTTCCATAGCCTAGCCTAGTGTAGCGTGCATTTATTGTGAGGCGACATTGTGTCTCGCTTTCACGCCCTCCATCAATCAAAATTCTATTCAACCAAGTGTTGTCATCACACTTGGGATCGCATTCCTGCCTTCCTTGAGCTGTTGTTTTGTACATGATTGTGGGAGTGGACAAGAAGACTCGTCAAGTGTGATGCATATGATCGGTACGCTTGTGGTGGGTGCAACGCTTGGGATTGGAGTAGTGCTTCGGATTTCGTGAATCAAGAGATCCGGGTCCAGGGAATTCACAAAGCCAGTCACAAGGGAACAACAGAAGTGTCTGGGAAGAAACGATTCTGCTCCTCCATGTGGCACAAGCTGGAGGGGGACAAGAATGTCGGAGGCAAGGACTGAAGCATGGGTTTTTGGGATGGTTTAGATCCGTAGAGGCCATGTCGATGCTCACTGACGAATACGACTCATGCTGGTATCACCCACAGTTTGTGTGCATTGTTTTCTATCTGGTCTAGCCAGAACAACCTTCCAATTAGGTCGTGTATGTGTGCAGAATACTAAGAGTTGAAGTTATGTTCTATCTACAAATTTATCCTCCATGTGGCACAAGCTGTATGTGGAGAAAGTATTTTTTTCTCGAGCGCTTTGAATCACTTATGTTTAGAAATGCTGTTTGAAGGGGTAGGGATGAAATCTATTTCTTAGTAGTATGGATTGCCAAAGAAAAAAATACTTTGGAAAAGTCTTGTTTTGTAGGATGTTGCCTAACGTAAGAAGATTCTATGGTGTTGAGCAAATCATTGGTTATTATAAGTTGAAGTATATCAATCCATATATTGATCCAAATAATTATAAATTACTTTTTTGTTTATTTTTTATAAGGGAGATGAATGATGTTGGTCACAAATGGAGATATCTAAAATTATCATGT